TATATATATATATATATATCTCCCCTATTTCTGACCCTCTGCCTATATATATGTGTGTGTGTGTGCGTGTGTGTGTGTGTGTGTGTGTGTGTATATATATGAAATTAGAAATGGAAAATTATTGACGATAACATGCATGATTACGCCACTATGCAGTATATTCTGGATGGGAAATCACATTTTGTGTGCTGTGAGGATGCTTAGAGAATGTATGTAAATTAATAAATTAAAAAAATGTTTCAGAAAAAAAACCCACAAAAACTGCTTTTCTTGAAATGAAAAAAAAAAAGCATTAAAAATACCTATTTGATGACTGCAGTAAGCTATGTAGCCCCAGCTAGGTGCTACTTTACAGTTTGTTCATTCTACTCACTGAGGTTTATGCCTAAAGTCAGACTTGTGTTCATGGATATGTATATATTAGCTGTGCTAGCTATTGAAAATATTTAGATTAAGATCTTTAGTGAACCAATAAAATGTGGGGCAAAAAAGGCATAGAAAGCAACCATGGATACCAGAGACTATGGGAGGAGATGGGAGATGACAGAGAGTGAGAGATAGGGAATCAAGGATGGAAAAAAATGCAAAATATAAAGGAAACAAGAAATGGAAGATCATTTGCTAATAATAACATGTTTGTTGATGTGCTTGATTGAGACAATATACAGTGTACTCTGGATGGAAAATCTCATTTTGTATGCTATAATGATGTATAGTAAATAAATGTAAATAAATAAAATTTTTAAAAGATGCTGACTAAAATACTACAGTGACAATCTTAATCATACCTACTCAGAGGCAGTAGTGAATAAAAAAATTATTGATAAACTTATCATTCAGGTTCTTTAATTGGGAAATACCCATTCTATACCAACCAAGGTTGCATTTTCTAAATAAATAAATTAATGTTGAAAATCCAAATCAAGCCAATTAATTAACTAGAAGGCAGAATTTTTAAAAGTGCAAAGAAAAAGCTTGATTCAGGAAATAAAACAAAGGAATTAAATGAATGTTAAAACAGTTTAAACTTAGCTACTAATTAAGATTAGCCTTAAAGCATTTCTAATTTAATAAATTTAGAAACATTTTGCATCATTTAAAAATTATACAGGCAGGGACCAGCAGATGGTATAATGGCTACATTGCTGGGCTCCCATGCAGTCGACAGCAGTTCAAGTCCCGGACCCGGTGGCTTAAACGCATGTGCACGTGGCGTGCCCAAGATCCCATGAGGAGAATGGATGAGAAGGGTCTGTGGTATGGCCATCCCCCCGGGGAGAGATTTCTCGCTTTCTGTCTCTCTTTCTGGTGAGCACATGTGCCCTATAGCAAAAACCTCTCCAAAAAAAAAAAAAAAACATAGGCATTCAACAAAAATGAAACAGCACAGCTACTGGAGTCATTTTAAAATATTTGCTTTACATTTGGACCTACCCCACCAGCTGCTCCGGATCCCAGTTATCCTGCTGTAGACTGGGCTGGTTTCTGCATGCCAATCCTATCACAAAATCTGGGCCAAGGTGGTGGTTTTTCCTTAGACCTCCACTGGCCTACAGCTTAAGTACTACAGCAACACTAATCTTCTTTTTGTTTTTAACTTACATATGTTCCAAAATACTCGTTTGAACCCTTATCCTCTATAACCTAACCTATAAGTTTTAAATTTCATGCTAATGCTGACAGTTCCACAATGTAAGGAACAAAGCAGAGAGCTTTCCCTCTGTCAGTAGATAATATCCCAGCTGCTTAACATCTCAGTTCCAGTGAAGCAACATATTTATTTTCTAGTCCACCACCTGCAACAGACACAAACATGAAAAAGTATCGGTTTCACGCGTGTTCTGTATCATGAAATACAGTGTCTCTGTCAGCGCCACGACTTTCCATGAGAATCTGGTATTTGCCCAAAAATGATGACAAATGAATATACTACAGAGCTATGAACACACGAGAAACGCTCCAAGTGCTACACGTGATGACAGGGAAAACAAACCCTTACCGTGTAGCAGAAGTTAATTTTGGTTTACTGTTCAGTAGGGCGTCACGGTTTACAAGGAGCCAATGGCAAGTGACTTGGACAAGCAGAGAACTTCTAACACGTAAGTCTCTTGCACCTAGGATTGAGCAGACCGCTCTCACTCATCACCTAGTTCTTCAGCACCATCACATGGACATGGTTTCTTTAAAAGGACCCCATGTCACCCACCTCCCCAGCTTCCGTGTTTTGACACTGTCTACTACAACCTCCCGTGTTCGTCTGAATTTCCCCCTTATGTTCCATTTCTAGACCACTCACTGCTATAAACTTAGCTCATGCTAACACCTTAATACCAACACAAAAGTAAATAGGAAATTCCCAATAGGAGGGCTTCAAGTTTGACAGATGAAGATAGCAAAACTCGCCAACAGAACAAAATATGCGATCAGAGTTCGAGAACCGAGCCTACCACTCACAGCAAGCACGTTAGGAATATACACAGCACTGTCAACAGCAGGACCCAAGACGGCACGGCCAGCAGAACATTCCTGAACAGCAGCCCCCGCCCCCAAGCCCCGTGAGCTTTAACGTGCACACAGCCCTTTGCTCACCGATGCAGAGCAGCCAGGGAGATGGAGTTCACAGGCACGAGCGAGACCGAACTGGCCAGCTACTCACCTCCTCACTCAGGGCAGGCTTGCTCATTTAACTTTTCCTTTCCTCGCTTGTCATCGCTCAGCAACAAATGGTTATGATTCTGCAGACGTGTGAACCTGAGAGTTAAAAAGAATTTTTTTTTTCCAGAAAAAAAACAAGGGAAACTAAAGTTCCCTCCACCGCGGTCTCGCTTTGCCCTCTGTGTGTGTCTCTCCGCGAGGCAGCTACGTCGTGGTCTATAAATATTGACCCTGACACTTGCTCAGTGCTTTCCTTGCTCATGGCACAGGTCTGTGTCACCGAACACCGTGGTAAGACTCGGCAAAGTCCTCAGCTGCTCAGACAAAGCTGTGGATTGGCTCACTACCCGGCAACCCTGTGCCTGCCTGGAAATACCATTTTGCTGCCAGCTTTACAGATGCAATGGGTCTTTCCTGAGGCCCAAATCAGGCGCAGAAGGGCAATTAGGAGGTTTGTCTGAAGAAATACAGCTCTCCTTAAGCAGGTGGAGAAAGGGGGGCTGGGATGAGTGGAAGACAAGAAAGGAAATACTGCCTTCTGTTTGGGGCAAACAACCCAATCGCAAACCCGTTAGAAAAATCCGACCTAAATGTCACTCAATCAGGCTTTACAGAACTTAATTTCTACATATAATGAATGACCACGAGACAGAGGAAAGTATTTTTGTCATTGTTTTTAATGTTGCTTCTCAGCGAATAAGACTACAGTGAGTAATTATCCACGAAGAAATAAGTTCATTTCCAGAAGGACAGACATTCATTGGAAAGTATATTATTAATCAGACAAATTACAGATTTGGTGAAAGATGCTAAACTATGATCTGAAAATTATATGACTCAACATACTATATTAACATCTAGATTCACCATCACTACAATGTGGATTACTTTACTTTCCTTTTTAAGTTAAGGATAAAACCTAAGCTATAACGTTATATAGTTTACAGCTGATATTAAGACGTGCATTATCTACACGTACCACCTATAACGGTCACAGAGTAGATGGCTAGAGAATAAATTAAACCCAAATTTGTTATTCTTGCCAAGGATAATCATTTGTTTGACTAACAGAAATTTTTTTCACTTGACTAAATCAGAGGTGAAGGACAACCCTGGAAATTAATCTAGTCATTTATTTGTGCAGATGAGGAAATCAACCTGCAGGCTGGCTTCTATTTATTTCTTTATTTGGTATTGCCAGAGGGTGCATGTGCTCCCCAAAGAGAGTGAGAGATAAAGGTAGGAAGCACCAAAAGGTCATGGTCATATCTCCATCCCTTTTCCTGCATTCCCCTATCCTGTCGGGATTTGAGGCACACATGCACACATTCTTGTGAGTTTTTCAAACTGCCAGGGCTGGGATTCAAACCATGCAATTGGCTATGTGGGATCTGACTCTCTTAGACCCCACAGGTTACTTTGCCCATGGCCAGTGATCATAATTAAGAGCCAGAAAAATAATGAATGAATGAATGAATGAATGAATGAATGAAAGAAAGAAAGAAAGAAAGAAAGAAAGAAAAGAAAAGAAAAGAAAGAACTTTCAAACAATTAGCTTCCATATTTCCTTGTTTAATTCAACAATTACTGTTTGTTAGGCTGGCCCCATAGCCTAGTGGTGAAGGCCAGATCCCCAGTGGCCAACTATGGTTTGAATTCTAGCCCTGATGGCTTGAAAAACATGTTGGGCACCTGTGCCTGTGTGCCCCAAATCTTGACAAGGTAAAGGAATGGAGGGGAAAGGACTGCAGTGTGACCACACCCCTCTAGGCATACCCACACACTCTGGTAAGTGTATACAGCCACTGGCGATTAAAAAATAATCAATTAATGTTTGTCCAATAATTTAACATATTGCCAGGAGAAATACATAACCAGGTGCTAAAGAGACAAAGATAAAACACGATTCCTACTCTCAAAGACCTTGCCATCTAATTCCAGGGAGAAGAGCTGGCCACAAGGCAGTGTGGTGTCTAACCAAGACCAGAAGAGGATGCTGGAGGAAGAGGAAAAGGGCATGGATCAAACACATGGCAGAGTAAAACAGGGACGCCCCTTCCCCAAAGATTTCTGGAGCTTACAGAAGGGGCTCTAGGTAATGGGGCAAAAGAGAAAAGAATGACAGGATAAAGACAGGGCAAGAAAGAACACGCTACATACACGACTCTCGGTTCGTTCTCACTGGAACAGAGGGCAAGACAGAAAGAGCACGCTACATACACGACTCTCGGTTCGTTCTCACTGGAACAGAGGGCAAGACAGACAGAGTTTTAGAAAGGGTGATGAGGGATTTCATAAACCAGATGAACAGACTGGGGATTTTACACAGTAGGGCAGGTTACCAATCTTTCACTGTTTTTGTTCACAGACTCTTCAAAGAATTTTTTTAAATTACATATTTACTCACACATCACCATGTTAACATCTACAGATTTTTTACTTACAGTAAAACATGCCCTTGCAAAGACTTTAACTTCTATTGGAAATACTGACATTCTCAAACGACTGTTTAAAAGATAGTAGAATGGAAACCATAGTAATATAATGCAATCCATGTAAATAACCATCCATGTAAATAACCCATAAATTGACACTCTCAACAGGTAAAAATTTTATACTGCTTTTCAATTTTTTTTTTTTTTTACTTTTTAAGGATTTTATTTATTTATTTATTTATTTATTTTTATCTTCTATAGGACAGGTGTGCTCGTGAAAGAGAGAAAGAGAGAAAATAAGCCTCCAGGTCTGGGACTCAAATCCCAGTTGACCATGTGGGAGTCTGGCACGTTAACCACCATGCTCCCACTGATCCAACTTTTTACATTTTTGATAGTTATTCTTCTTATTTAAATCTTGGCACAAGTGTTCACTGGAGACAGAGAGAGAGACAGAAAGCGAGAAGGCGTTCCCTGCGGGGAACAGTCAGGCTGCAATCACGCTCCTCCATCTCTCCTCCTTTCAGGGTGTTGGGCACCTACACATATGCCCCAGTGTGTTTCAAGACTCTAGGTCCAAGATTCGAACTACACAGGCACCCATGTGGGATCCAGCCACCTCAACCATCATGCCATGGGTTGGTCAGATAGTTATTTCTATCTCACTTCTTCAAGAATTTCTATGTAATAAAAATTTTCATTGAAAATCTTTAGTTCGTCACACTGTCCAACTTTATTTTTTTTTTCAGAGAGGTTTTTGCTATAGGGCACGTGCACTCACTAGAAAGAGAGAGAGAGAGAGACAGAAAGTGAGAAATCACCCCCCACGGGATATGGCCACACCGCAATCCCTTCTCCTCCATTCTCCTCTCAGGATCTTGGGCACTCACGCACAAGCGCCCAGCATGAGTTTAAGCCACTGGGTCCAGGACTCGAACTACAATCAACTACATGGGAGTCCAGTGACATAGCCATTATGCTAACTGCTGGTCCCCACACTGTCCAACTTCTCCACGACAAAACTTTAATGCATTACTCAAATATTTCAATGTGTGAAATTTTATATACCCCAGAGAAATGCACCCCAGTAAGACATGGGATAGATGAGGGTGTGCTTTTCTTTTATACTGTGAAAAACGCATTGCTCCTTGCCAGGTTAATGTTTACAAAGAGCATATGGAGAATCAGAAGCTGGACACCAACTCCATTAAAAGTGCCCATTCAACTGCTAAGCAAAAAGAAGCCAGCCTGAAAAGGCTGTACCCCACGCAACTCCTGCTGCATGGCATTCCAGAAAGACAACATGATGGAGGCAGTAAGAGCCCAGTGGTTACCACAGGTGTCTGGAGAAACACTGGGGGTATCTAGAGCAGCAAAACCACGGTGTGACGCTGTGACAGCAGACCTGTGACATCACGTGTTTGACAAATCCCGTGTAACTTTACATGCACCGAGACGCCTAAAGTAAACATGAACTTCAGCGAAGTCGCTTCTCTCTTCTTGAAGCAAATGGCTAAGAGGGAGTAGTAGTATTTATCAGGGGATTACTGCCCAGCAGTGGCTTTAGGATGACTCTCGCTAACCCTGAAACCAACTCTGACAGATGGTTACACTTTTGCCTTTTATAAGATAAAGAAAAGGAGGCTGAGCGCTATTAAGTGGTTTGTACGAAAGTCATGTAACCAATAAATCTTAGAAGTGGGATTCAACTCAGATCTGTAAGGCTGGACCTGCCTTTGTATCAGTCACTTAAATAAAAGGTGAAGGCTGGCCAGGGCGGGGTAGGCCATATGCAAAATAGTACCTTCACTACATCAGAAAGGAACGAAAGAGCCTTATCCTGCATTTCTCTCAAGAAAACTGCTAGCATACTGAGTATCGGAGGGTGGGAGAAAAACAGCACCAACAAATTAAGCAGTGGATGAAGGTAAAGTAAACGATACGCCCTGTTTAGAATGTCGAGGTTTTTATCTTCAATTTGATGGAAGGGTAAGAAACACAGGAGAGTCAAGGGTGGGTCCTGCTGGGTGGCTGGGTCTCTGCCCAGGCAGAGGTTCGGAGGAGAGAGCAACTTTGGAACACAGAGCTGGGGAGAAAATATGGATTTAGTCTGGGGTGTTATGAACCTGAAATGTCTGTATTGCATCCAAGTAAGGACCTTCAGCAGACATCTGAATATGCTGGTTTAGGAGAGGCAGAGACTGCTTCAATTCGCTTGTCTTCTGATCTCGCTTTCCTGCCTCTATCCCTGTCACCATGTGGTCTCCCCTCCACACAGGAGCTTAAAGTGGTCACCGAAAAGCTGCCGTACCACCATCTCACAGATCATATTTGCTTGGGACAACCTTCCAAATACTCTGGAACAACATGGATTTGAACTACATGGGTCCACTTATATGCAGACTGTTCTCAACAAATGCTGTAAGTGTGTTTTCTCTTACAGTTTTATAAATAACATTTTCTCTTCCCTAGTTTACGCAACTGTAAGAATATAGTGTGTTCCACACATACAGCACACAAAATACTCTGTCAGTTGACCTTATGCTACCAGTAAGACTGTCAACAGTAAGACAGGTCAACAGGGGGCCACTAGCAGTTAATATTTGAAAAGTCAAGAATTATACATGGATTTTCCACTGAAAGAGTTGGGACAAGGGGACATAAGATCTGATCTTCGACTTGTCCAAAGGTCAATCACTCTCCATCTTTTAAAAACTTTGCAGTTCTTAAAAATCATCGTATACTTGCAAATAAAGATTTCTTCAAATGAAAGAATTAAACCTCACTAATTCAAAGTTTTCTACTATCACCGCAAAATAGTGGAATATGTCTATGTGACAAGAAGTTAGATTACAGCCTTTAATATTTCAATAATCTCTGCGTGGTTCTACTCTCCAGATGGAAGATCATTATCTGACTTTTCAAATAATGATTTTCTCCCTTCCAAACA